CTCCCAATCCGCCCTGCTCTGTGCATGACAGGGGGCAGCACCCCAACTCCCCACTCGGCCCTGCTCTGAACCCGACCAGGGGCTGCACCTAGGGATTGTGCCTGCCCTCTGCCACCCGCGAGCAGGCCTAAGCCAGCAGGTTGTTATCTTCCGAGGGGTCCCAGACTGCAAGAGGGCACAGGCCGGGCTGAGGGGCCCCTTCTTCCCCCCGAGTGCACAAATTTTTGTGCACTGGGCCTCTAGTTAATTATAATTAGGAAATGCTGCCTTAAGCCTACTGAGTTCTCCAGCATTGGAAATGTTCTAACAATGACTAGATATCCATTTTATGAAGGCAGCATAACTAGAACTTGAGCATTTGTTAGTTGGATGGAGTTAGAGATTGTAAAGATACCTTCCAACCATAAAATTCATTAGAGTCACTAGCTTCTATAGTGCAAAATTAATTCCCCAATTAATTTAGTTTTTGTTGGGTTACTGACCCAAATTAGAATGCTTTCAGTCTACTTCAATTCAATTCCAGCATCAATGATTTCTAATTCTAACAGCAAATAGCCTCCTCACTTGTCACATTACCCAAACTTCAAAGACATCGTCATTTTTTGGAGCCTTAAGTCAGGCTAAAGGCAAAGTTACTTAAATAAAAACAATCAAATGAATAAAACAAAGAAAAGCACCTAATGCTATAAGCAATCATCTAGCATTTAAAGCAGTGGTTCTCAACCTTCTGGCCCTTTAAATACAGTTCTTCATGTTGTGACCCCCAACCATAAAATTATTTTTGTTGCTACTTCATAACTGTAATATTGCTACTGTTATGAATCATAATGTAAATATCTGATATGCAGAATGGTCTTAGGCGACCTCTGTGAAAGGGTCGTTTGACTCCCAAAGGGGTCGCAACCCATAGGTTGAGAACCGCTGATTTAAAGCAAGGAACTATACTGACCAATTTGTAAATGAGAAAATGCCAAAGCTGTTTCTAAAGTTATTGTCAATTCATTTTTTTACAGAATAAATATGCTTTACTATAATGTATTCCTGTTTATAAGGATTTTTAAAAACTTATATTGTGATTAAAACTATATCCTTAACAAATCTTAAAAGCATGATACTTTGATGTCTACTCTGCATTCCAGAATTAGCATTTTTCCATGATTAACAGCAGGAAAACCTTTCCTAACATCTGGGAATGAGCCCTGGTCTCCCACTGAAACAGAGCTGAATGCCGCATGTAAATGAGACGATGGAAAGTCTCTTTATGGAAATATTTTGCTTCCAAGAGCAAATGCCTAACTATCCTAAAATTAAGTTATTAATGTTGTCAGTATAAACCACTTTAAACAGTATAAACCACAGTAAAAACAGTATAAACCATTTCTCCATTTTCCATCAATGTCTTACTAAGAAACCTTCCATATATTGTTTTATCTCATTTTTATTGGCACATTGATATGTCCCCCTCCTCCCCCCATGTCTCCTCCCAGGCACCTAATTCCTCAAGAAATATCCCAAATAATTACTTTTAAGTGTTCAAGTTCTAAAAATCAAGCCCACATTATTACAACAAGATCATGAGGATACAGAAATATTCTTACTTTTCCAGCAGTGCTCATCCTGCCTTCCCCCTGGTTCTGTATTTCAGTCAACAGACTGTTTCTCACTGGTGTTTGGCTCACTCTGTTGTAAATAACAGCATCTTGTGCCCTCGGATAAATAGTCCAGCTCAAATCCGCCTTCAGCAATATGACTCACGAAAACTTTCCAAAGATCCATGCCGCCCCACCCTTTGCAGAGCAAGTCATGAAAATAAATACAGTGACTTTTGAGCAAACCAACACTAGGGATCTAACAAAGATAGAATAATCCAACCTATTGGGAAGGGTTATTGTTATCTGGAGGTATTGCTATCTGCCTTAGAATTAGGGATTTAGACACAGGGCAGGTTAGTGAATTTAACACAATTCAGTAAAAATACATTCTGAATACGTTCAGCTGCTCTGCCCGGTTTCAGGATGTGTGTGAATATTTGTACTTGTGCTCTACTTCACTCTGCAAAGACTTGATGTAGTTTGTGGGAAGCCTATAATTAAACATAAATGGCAACAGGGCCATAGAGATGTAATCAAATCAGAATAGAAGGTATAGGTTGGGAAGGAGAGTCGGGGGTACATAGAGCTTAGTTGTGGACAACAGTAGTTTCTAGGTGTTTGGGGGATAGAAAGAAAAGTGAAGCTTGTCGCCCCTAAATGTGTCCAAATTACTATCTGGACCCAAATCCCCATTATACACAGAGCTGTCTCATTTGGTTGTGTAGTTTGGGCCTGGCACACGGGTGCACTGTGCAGGGCAGAAAGCAAACTGCCCTGCAGGCTGGCTCTCAGAAGCCAAAGGGCTTCCACCTACGTGGGCAAGTGCTTAACCTCCTGAAGTAGCTGTTTAACCGCTTCACACGCTACTTCTTCATATAAGATGTAATGACACTGAAATGCACAGAATGCATTGCTGCGAGAGTGTCCAAGACAGATTTTATTAATCATAGTATTGGGGACACACTGGCACATTCACCTCCAAGTAAATTAATTCTACACAAGGGAGATTTTACTCTTGTGGACTGAAAGGGCAGGAGAGTTTTTCTAAGTCTTTAGACAAAGATGTTTAGACTCTAAAGTCCTTTTCAGGTAACAGCTATAGACAAAACTTTATTTTGAAAAACTATTACAAGCTTTACCACAGAGACCGCTCTCAATGTATTATATTAAGTATTATAGACATGATTTAAAATATATTTACGTCTAATTCAGAACCAGCCATTAGGATTAGCCCTGTAGCCAAATTAGAACCACCAGGTAAAATAAAAGCACTACCAGGCAATGAGGCTTGAGTGTGAGCCATTGTTTTAGCTGCAAAGGCTGAGAAACCAGGCCCGCCTTGCAGGCATCATCAGACAAAGTGCAGCAGGTGTGGACACACAAGTATTCTGAGGCTCAGCCTTCAAGCCAAAGAAACCAAACCTTACCTCAGCAACTAGCGGAAAGTTGTTTACTCATGAACAAAGGCAAAAAAGGGTGCCAGCCTGGGAGGTGCCAACACAAATACAAAAATGCTCATTTGGTAAACTCCCTCCCTCTTGAGGCTCTGGCACAACCTTATAGCACATTAATCTAAAAAACATATTTTACCTAAAGCAGGGGTGTTGAGTGAGGTTTAACATCTGTGTAAGCTTTATGGTCCTACTCCCTTCTCCAGGAGAACTGATTGGATGATAAAATGTCAAAAGCTACAACGTGGAAGGTAACCTATTAAAAAAGTTCACAGTCATGCTGGATCACACAGCACATCCGTCCTAATCTTAGGTTTGGAGGAGTTGCCAGCTGAATGTCTCTTGCAAACCTTTCCACGGTGTTTCTATGAAATTCTGGGGCCCAATCTCTCAGGTTCCTAAATCTCCTACTAGTAAACGCTGTGAGCCTGGTGCCGCTTCAGGAGCCTCCAAAGACGTGTGCGAATCTCCAAATACCCATGAACTCTAATGTGCCCAGGACAGAAGGCACAGGAGGGGCTTTGAGAATGAGCTGTGGGAGTGAGGGCTCCGGTGGCAGACACACCTGCCTCAGGACCTGGGGCCTCGCGGGAATCTGCACAACCTCGGCTACCACACTGGTTAAATGGGAATAATAATCAATGCGTTACACGCCTGTCCTGGGGGTCAGTGGTGAGGATGGTAAAGCACTCCCTATACTCCCTGGATCAAAAAAGTAGCAAACAGCATTATTATTAACTAGGTTCCCATTGGCAACCAAAGGTTCAGATTTTTTTTTTATATATCCTATATCTCCTCAGGACAAAAGAGCACTATTGAGTGTCTATCACATCGTAAGGAGAACTCCAATTTTAGGTCACAGCATTAAGAGCTCCTGGTTTTAGTCTCATAAGCTCTCTTAGAAATGACCCACAAAGGTTCAGACTGTTAAATATTTAAAATGCAACCACTTTAGACAAAATGACCTGGAGTCCAGACTCAAAAATAAACTGTTTTGCAGAAATCAACTGTGCAGTCCCAGAACCTCCCCTAAACGCTTGGGGCTAAGACTCTCCTGCCCTGCAGGTGCCTCCAGAAATTCAGGTGGAGCCAAGGGGCACAGTATGATCCACACGTGTGTTTTCCCGGGACCAAGGGGGTCCCAGGAAGCAGGAAGTCGTGCTAAACCCAGGAGAGTCCCAGGCAACGGGGACTGTCACCCTGTGTACACTCGGCACCACCTCGCGTCCCTGAGTGTGTGCGCTCCACGGCGTCCTGTCCGCCTCGGAGTGTCAGCCCTCCTCTCACAGCCCTGACCCTTCACCCTCAGTGACAGCTTCTGTCATGGACCCCGACCAGGACTCTGCTCACCCCAGGCCCAGAGGACAGCAGGGAGGACAGGATCACTGCAGCCAGGAGAACTGGGTGAAATACCTGCTCCAGCCGCGACTGCTAAGTGCTGTGGCAACACACTCAATGCTCTGAGCTTCCGGGCCGAGGAAATCACACCTTCTCCGAGGCTTGTGGAGCCTCAGTGAGGCCGTGTGTGTGTGTGTGTGTGTGTGTGTGTGTGTGTGTGTGTGTAAAGTGCTCATCACACCGTCAAAAACTCAGAAAATGACAATAAGGATAACGCTGGGACCGAGCCAGTAAGAAAAGGGCCTTGGCGTGCACAGGGAAAGGGCCCTGGTTTATTGCTGAATCATTCTTAGTAGCAGAAACAGCTAAGCAACTACAACACTGAACAGCACGCAACTGCTAGTCACCTGGGATCACCATGAGCGCGAACAACTTTTGCTCAGCCAACGCCAAACATTCAGGGTGAGGCTTCATCCTGGCCTTTGTTCCTCGGGTTTCTCTCCAGCAGGCAGCTCAGGCGGTGGCAGGTTGGGGCCCGCTTTGACCCTTGACTCTGCCAAGCCCTGTGAGGGGCCTGGCTGGAAAGAGGGGCGGGTGGGGTTCCCGCAGCTCTGCCCTCACAGGAGAGGATTTGGCTAATCCTTTCAGGACGCTGTGCCAGCTCGCCGAACTGCTGTGTGGGGTGGTGCTGGGCAGGCCCAGAAAATGCTCTTCTGCGACACCTGCCTGGAAAGATGCACAGATTTCATAAGGGGGGCTCCGCCTCTGCTCCCCTGAACTCCCATCCGCTCAGCTCTCCCACTGACTGCGGCTGGGCGCTCCCATCAAGGAGACCAGGAATCCTGGGCAAATATGAACCCCAGTTGTCAGTTCCCCTCATGACGTCCCTTAAAAAGAAGCCCACGGAGGAATCCGTGTGCCAGGAATCTGGCTGAGAACAAGAGGAAAATGGGTCCGGAATCCAGGGCCTGGCCATTCTTCACCACAAGGAGGGGCAGGGGCTGATCCTGGCAGAGAAGCTCAGCCACAGACATCCCAGCAGCGGGAGGACAGCCTGGGTAGGGCTGGAGGCAGAGGCCTGGGAGGCAGGCAGGCTCCGGAGGGCACTGCGTGCGCAGCTAGTTCAGCGATGTGTCCTCTGTGGCATCCATTTCCAGGGCTCCCGCAGGCTTCTCCGTAAACATGGAGCAGGACTCCAGAACGCCAGCTCTAGAAGTGGCTGCAGACGAGTCCCCCGCGGAGCCAGCAGGAACCCGGGCTCCAGAGCGGGGCTCA